AATGCAAGCACACGCAGCACACAGCGAGGGGCTGTGCGCCGTCGGCCGTGAGCAATGCAAGCACACGCAGCACACAGCGAGGGGCTGTGCGCTGTTGGCTGTGAGCAATGCAAGCACACGCAGCACACAGCAAGGGGTTGTGTGCAGTCAGCCATGAGCAATGCAAGCACACGCAGCACACAGCAAGGGGTTGTGTGCAGTCAGCCATGAGCAATGCAAGCACACGCAGCACACAGTGAGGGGCTGTGCGCCGTCGGGGCGCGGCTGTGCGCGGGCCAGGCGACCCGTCCTCCAGCACGCAGGCCAGCATCGAGGCTGACTCCTGCACCTCCACCACCGGGCTCCGTCTGAAGACTGAATGCTGACCTGTTCTGTGGCACTCCGGGTCCTGTAGAAAAAGCCCTCCATGGTGCCAAACTAGACGAGTTGCAAGTCCATCACATTGTCCTGGTGGGTGGTGCCACCCACATTCCCAAGATCCAGAAGCTTCTACACGACTTCTTCCACGGGAAAGAGCTGAATAAGAGCATTAACCCGACGAAGCTGTTGCTTATGGTGCATCGGCCCAGGCACCCATTCTATCTGAAGACAAGTCTGAAACTTTCAGGATCTGCTGCGCGTGGGTGTCACCCCTCTGTCCTGGGTACGGAGACTGCTGGTGGAGTCATGACCTTCCTCATTAAACACAATAAACCTTTCCTACCAGACAGACTCAGACCTTCACCACCGACGCTGACAACCAGCCCGGTGTGCTCATTCAGGCATACGAGTGCGACCAGGCCACACCCAGGGACAGCCGCCGGCTCGCACAGCCGAAGCGCACAGGCGTGCCTTCTGCACCTCGTGTTCCTCACTTGACAGTGAGGGCAACTCCACCCTCACTGTCTCTGCTGTAGGTAAGAGCAGGAGAGAGAACACAATCACAATCACCAATGGCAAAGGTTGTCTTAGCAAGGAGGGCGTTGAAGGCATGGTTCGGGAAGCTGAGAAGGACAAAGCTGAGGGTGAGAAGCCGAGAACTCCCTGGAATCCTACGCATTCCGCATGAAAGCAACTGTTGAAGAAGAGACACTCCAGGGCGAGATGAATGGTGAGGACAAGGAGACCCTTGACAAGTGTAATGAGCTCATCCGTTGGTTGGATAAGAATCAGACTGCAGAAAAGGAAGAATTTGAAATCAGCAGAAAGAACTGGAGAATGTGGGTGACCCCATCCCCAACAAGCTGCCCCAGACTGCGGGTGGCACGCGGGAGGCGTGCCCGGAGGTGTGCCGGGGGCAGGGGGAGAGCTTCTCCCACAGAGCTTCCCTGAGCCTACCATTGACGAGGCTGACTGAGGTACAACCCAACACACGTGCAGCACCGTCCACACAATAAACACTGACGAGGCTGACTGACATACAACCCAACACACGTGCAGCACCGTCCACACAATAAACACTGACGAGGCTGACTGA